TTTTGTATCTATAACTTGTATGAGATGTTTTTCCCATGGTCTTTATCTATAACTGTTACGGGATAGAAATCCCATGAATTCAATCTATATTAAGTACGGGATGATAATCCCATGGTCTAAATCTATATCTTGTCCGGGATAGTGATCCCATGGTTTTCAATCTATATTTCCATATATATCAAATTATCTCGTGTCTAGTCCGGGATGGTAGTCCCATGATCTTAAATCTGTAGTTTCATATGTGTCAAACTATTTTATATCTCTTTCGAGATAGTGATCCCAAGATTTTCATCATATAGTTTTGTGTATTAAACTATACTTTGTGATATACAACTGATCTTACAATTAGGAAAATATGGGATTTTCCTGGGGTAAAACACAACATGTAATCGAATTGGTAACAAATGATAACTAAACTAACTTCACATAAGAAAATATGGGATTTTCTTGGATAACAAACCTTTTCGGAAACTAAAGGAAACTGATACATTTTCATAAAACAAAACCGCTTATGAACTCACCAGCTTTATGCTGATTTTCAAACCGCTTGTATTCTCAGGTCCAAGTTAGACAGGTACCCGGTGATCTCTTTTTGATGAAGACGGAGTGCGTGGAAGACTCGTCTCAACTTTTGTTAATATGATGCATATGTATATCTTGTATAAGTTTGCTTTTGAAACACTACAACAAAATGAAGCTAATGCAACCCCACTAAAAGGTTGCATTAGGCCTTGTAAAAGTTGCATAATACCTAAAGCAACCTTTTACCAAAGGTTGCATTAGGTAAAGTTGCATTAGATCTAAAGCAACTTTTTTCTTCGAAAATGCAACCTTTTTTGAGATAGTTGCAAATCTTTTTTAAATGCAACTTTTTTTATTGCAACGTGTGTTATGCAAAAGCAACCTTTTTAATACTCATATGTAACTTTTTTACACTTGGATGCAACTTTTTTTAACTATTGTAGTTACGAAAATGCAACTTTTTTATAATCAAATGCAACCTTAATTATGTTTTCTAGTAAAGAATTGCAACCTTTCTATATGGCATATGCAACCTTTGTTATGTCTTTAAATGAAAAAAATGCAACCTTGTTTATAGTCAAATGCAACTTTGTTTTTGTGAGTTTTCTAATTTCAATGCAATATTTTTTTTCCTAATCATATAGATGCCACATATGTTTACTACATTGTTACAAATATAAATTACTACTAAAATTTCACCTTAAAAATAATAACATAAATATATTATATAATTTTATGGTCTCCTTTGACATATCTAAATTCAAAATAATAACCATAAATCAAAGTCAACACAAAGTTGTCAACTATAATCACAAAAAAATAATTAAAAACATTCTAGATGTGTCTTAAACATAGACGATAAATCATATTAGCAACTATCGGCCTTCTCGAGGTTGTTGTTCCGCTAACTTTCGCATCATGGCTTCAAGGTTTTCTTGCTGTTTTTTAATATCTATTTGCATAGCTTTTAATTCGGCCTGCTTTTTTTCATGGTCCTCTTGAATCTCTTTCCGCATTTCAATCAACTCATTTCTTTCAACTTCATTTGCTTTGAATGATTCCATAAGTCCCGTCGGAATCATGTATGATGCATCACCACCACCCACTTTTTTTATCAATCTATTAGTAACGCCTCTACCATAAAGTCGACGGTATCCATCATTCTCTTTTTTCATCACAATCATATAAGGATCTATGGCATCACTTTCATCTTCTAGATGTTCATACTTCTTCATTTGTTCCTACAAGATTATTAAAAATGAATATGATAATTTTACTAAAGCATCTACCATTAAAAAGTTGTTAATATTGTAAAAAAAATTGCATTTAAATGCAGAAAAGAACAACTTTTTTATTGTTTAAATGACAACTATTTGATGTCCAAAAATCTGCTATCAAAAGACTGTTTTTATGTAAAAAAAAACTGCATTTTAACATCTAAAAAAACTGCATCTTAAAACATTTTTTTTTCGTGTAAAAGACAGCTATTTGATGTCCAAAAATCTGCTATCAAAATAGTGCTTTTATGTAAAAAAAAAAACTGCATTTTAGCATCTAAAAAAATTGCATTTTAACATCTAAAAAACTGCATTGAAAACAATTTTTTTTATTTTGTAAAAGACAAGTATTTGATGTCCAAAAATCTGCTATCAAAATACTGTTTTTATGTGTAAACAAAAAACTGCATTTTAACATCTAAAAAAACCGCATTTCAACATATAGAAAATTATATTTTAACATATAAAAAATTGCAATTTAATGTCTAAAAACTGCAATTTAACGTCTAAAAAGATAGTTTACTATTAAAAGGGAAAATTATTGTAAAATTGAAATATAAACTTACAATTTTATTTGCCGTGTCATCATATGTATCGACATATACATGCCCATCTGTCCTTTTACGTGTACGTTCAAACATTTGACTTAGAGTTGGGAATTCCTTGTTTGGATCTTCATTTTTCTATACACATGATAACATAAATATCAACAAGAAAGTATCAAAATGTGGGAAAATATAAACACAAATCACAAGCAAAAAGAAGACATTAATTACCATTTCGTCACGAATTCTAGCAAAACTTTTTGGACCAGCCGTGTGCATATTTTTTAGAGACTTGCGTATTTCTTTTGCCCGCGAACAACGTTTCTACACACACATTAATATATAAAACTCCATTGACCAAATACACCTAAAGACAAATCAAATATTAACAAACACTGGTAATAAAGAAAATGTTTTTGAAATTACCGCCACATCTTTTTTATTCCATAACACTAATAGTTTTGAGAACTCTTCTTGAGGAATGCATTCAGGTCGATTCTTCCATCTTGTTTTATTGTCCTTAAATTGATAGAAGTGTTTTTTCTTGAACCTACATTTGTATACCTTATACAAATTTCCAATTGTCCTAAGAACCCAAGTTTTAGCATCATCGGGCACATCATATTTTCCCTTAAAAAAATTAGTAATTAGTAAAAAGGAAGGAAAATAAAAAAGGATAGAAGAATAAAGCTACCTAAAAACTTACCAATACATACTCCCATATCTTATCTTTATGTGGAACTTTGTGCCATGAAGTACATGTCAATGGTGCATAACTATGGGTACGAGCTATTGTACCCAAAAACCGAGAGAATTTTCCTACTACATCCTTCCCCTCTATTATCGGTCCAACGGGTTGTCCATATTCATTACATATAATAACCTCACGTTGATTAACATTTCGTGTGTGAACGGAATGTAACATTGTTGGTCCTCTTTTCTTGGGTGTAGAAATTACTACATTCCAACATAGAATTATATATATATATATATATATATATATATATATATATATATATATATATATATATAAACCAAAAGCATGATCAAGTAGTGAAGTTGAACCTGTTTCCTTTTCTAATTGGGGTTCTTCTAATTGTTCTTCAAAAAGTACATCATCCTCATTTCCCAAATCGTCATCGCTATCATCAACTTCAATCTCATTTTCAATATTTGCATAGTTCAAATGGTCCATGTCTTCATGGTCATCATTTTGATCAACATCATCTTCTAATTAAGGAGTAAATATAACAGCAATAATAAATAGCAATTACAAAAAAATATAACAAAAAATGAAATATTCATTAAACTAAACGAAAGTACCTTCACATTGCGCAAGACGTCCTTCATTAACATTATCTTTCAAACCAAATTGCTCCATATCAGCTGCAATAACATCAAAAATCGTAGAAACGTAAATTAATATAACATGTAGTTTTATGAGGTGACTTTGTTATTTCTCATTAATTAAATAAACATTTAGATTGACAAGATACTACCTTGAGATATCTCATCATCCTCATCCTCATCAACAAGAGCCAATTGTCTCGTTGCTCCACTTATGATACAATTATGCTTTTCCGCATTTTGTTTGAATACCTCTCTTTCCCTTTGCGGTCCTTTATTCCTCAAGATTAAGTCACCCATACTAGTCTTTGATCTAGATTGTTTTTCTTTAGTTGCATTCGAAACCAATGGATACTTATTCGAGACATTTGGAGCAATCACCCGACGTTGCCTTGTTAAATTAGCAAGTCTATTCATGGACATTGGTGCAATATATTGTGGACGATGTTGCTGTAACAAATTTACTTTTCATTATTAAATATCAACATCAAAATAAAACAATTACAGATTTGCTAATATGATTACCTTTTTGGATACTTGAACACTTCTAGCAACTTCGTGGTAATCTCCATCAATATCATCACCCAAATCAGGAATATAGTCTGAATCTCTAGCACCGATATACGTTGGTTTCACTTGTTTTTTCTTTGGTTTTTGACTTTCTACCAAACTTGTCAAAGAATTTGCAATGCTTTTAACTCCCAAATCTTTTAGTCTTGCTTGGTTTTCTTTTATCCTCAAAAGTCTATTCTTCTCATAATCATTCATTTCTTTTTGTGCACTTTGATCTTGCTTGTTTTGTTTTCCCATTATCGGCCTGCTCAAAAGTGACATTATCAATTTAAGTTCAAAATACATAATAATAGCATTGTAGTATCACTTACATGTAATTTTTTTCCTACAATCATAAAATTAAATAAAAAAAGAAACAAGAAGCTGACAAATAAGGCACAATGCAACTCCAGTACTTACGATTAAACTGAATCGAAAGGAACCTGCAAAACAACCACACATGCACCTCTAATTTAAAATCTAAAAAAAGGTAAAAATAAAAGACATGAAAATTATTCCACAAAGATAAACATCACATTATAAAATAAAATCTATCAAATGTAGAAAAAAAAACTTTGTTTTTCAGTTACCTTCAAACCTAAACTTTCACAAAGTAGTGACTTATTATCACTTGCTTATTATTCAATGCATAAAATGACATGAAATAATTTAGGTAAACACAAAAAGTTTAAAGAATTAAACTATCTTATTACAAAAATGTAAAAGAAAAGTAAATATTAATATTATTGTCAGTATCTCAATGAGCCTCGTCTTCTTCTGCTTCCATCCAATCCCATAATGTATCGTCATAATCAGAATCGCCTCCACTGTCACTATTAGCTTCATCAGCCCCATCTAAATTTGTATTTGCATCAACTACAAGAGGAGGCATATCATGTCTTGACAATTGAATCTCATGTTCACCAACTTGTGCAAAAGAATTTAACCCATCCTCATTAGGCTCGGACCAATACGAGTCACCAATAGTTTCACTGCTTTCATCTTTGAGGTCATAGATATCTCTAGGAACCCTATTGAGAACATAATGCAAAAAGTCTTCTATAGGGTCTGCTACGTAGAACACCTGGTTTACTTGGGAAGGCATGACAAAAGGATCGTCTGAAGAGCAAAACTTATTAAAATTAACACATGTTAATCCATAATCATCTTTCTCTACTTGGTACCACTCACAACGAAACAAAACAACTTTGAACTGCGACCAATAGTCGAGTTCAAGTATATCCAAAATTCTACCATAGTAGTCAACATTCCCCATAGCTGGATTTTTGTCTCTAGAACTTGCAAAGCTAGGAGTTATAGCCGTAATAGAAACACCACTATTTTGAGTCTGGCATTTAGCATCTCGTGATTTGGTATGAAACCTATATCCATTGACATAATACCCGTGATATCTCTTTGAAGTAGGACTAGGACCCTTAGCAAGCCAAAAAATATGATCTGGAACATTATTACTTTTAACTTTCTCCTTTAACCAGTTGGCGAATTCATTACTATGGTTTTGGGCGCGTGCCCATCGACTTTTCTGTGGTTGGGTGTCAATATAAACTTTATGCTCACTGCATCATCACGTAGAAAAAAGAAAATTAAATGTGAATTAAGTTTTATCATACATTTAATTTGAAGAAATGAGATGCTATAAATTGATTACTTACTTGATATATTCATCAACTTGTGCACAATCAGAATTGAATAAGGCATAACGATGTGCTTGTTCCCTTAAAATAAGATCTAAAGTTATAAGCTTCCCTTTTCTTCGCTTTTTACCTCCAATAGGATGACCCTTATTGACAAATATTGGTCCACCAGACTCATGTTCTTCATCCATATCATCGACATCTTTTGAACCCCTATTAAGTCTTGTTTTTACTCCATCATGCATATAGCGTGAGCAAAAAGTCAAACATTCTTCAATCAAATATCCTTCTGCTATGGATCCCTCTGGACGACTCTTATTTCGCACATATGACTTCAACTTACATAGGTATCTTTCCATAAAATACATCCATCTATATTGAACAGGTCCTCCAAGTCTAACTTCGTTTACTAAGTGGATAGGTAAGTGCACCATTATGTCAAAAAACGTTGGCACAAATATTTTCTCAAATTCACACAATATTTGAGTTATTTCTAATTGTAATCTGTCAAGTTCCTCGGGCCTAATTACCTTGCTACACAAACTACGAAAAAAACCACCCAACCTAATCAATGGGATTGCAACATGCTTTGGTAATGATTTTCTCACTGCAACTTGAAGCAAGTAATGCAAAAAGATATGAGCATCATGACTCTTGTAACCCGAAAATTTCTTTTCTGAAGAATTAACACATCGGGCAATATTAGATGCACATCCATAAGGCAACTTTGCTTCCTTCAAAACACGACAAAAAATTGCTTTCTCCTTTGATGACATTGAAAAACATGCGTTGTGGAATATAACATTCTCACCATCTTCAGAAAGTTCTGGTTGAAGTCGTTCTTTAATGCCTAACTCCAAAAGGTCAAATCGAGCTTTTACATGATCCTTTGACTTTCCACTAATATCCAACACTGTCCCTACCACATTATCAGTTAGATTTTTTTCGATATGCATTGGGTCAAGATTATGTCGGCATTCAATAAATTTCCAATAGGGCAATTCAAAAAATATTGACCTCTTTTTCCATGGGCAATTACTATCATTTTTTTTCTTTTGTGTCTTCCCAAATATATTTTGAAAGCTAGACAACTCTCTCAAAGCTGCATCTCCTGATAGGGGTTTTGGATAAGGTCTTTTTTCAGTTTTACCATTGAAAGCACTTTTATTACGTCGCCATGGATGTAGAGCATCTAGAAACCTGCGATGATCCATATAGCATGTCTTCTTACTATGCTTCAGTTGGAGTGAACTGGTTTCATGATTACAACATGGACATGCGAATTTTCCTTTAGTTTTCCACCCTGACAACATGGAATAAGCTGGAAAATCACTAATTGTCCATGTTAAGGTTGCATACATTCTAAAGGTTTCATCTTTATATTTATCATATGTCTCTAACCCATCAACCCATAATTCTTTCAGCTCCTCAATTAAAGGTTGCAAATAAACATCAATGTTATTACCTGGTGAGTCAGGTCCAGGAATTAACAAAGACAACATAAAGTATTCGGGTTTCAGTGACATCCATGGAGGTAAATTATAGTTAACTAATACCACAGGCCAAGTGCTATGAGCAATGCTCATTGTTCGAAATGGATTAAATCCATCACTTGATAACCCTAACCTTACATTTCTAGTTTCTTTTGCAAATTGAGGATACAAAGAATCAAATTTCTTCCAGCTTTCCCCATCAGCAGGATGTCGTAAGTTTCCATCATTAGGACGTCCTTTGTCATGCCACGTCATATATTTAGCTGTTTCAGAGCACATGAAAAGTCTTTGGAGCCTTGGTTTTAAAGGAAAATGCCACACAACCTTAGCAGGAATATTTGAAGATTTTTTGAAATGCTCATTGACATGCTTGCTCGCTTGTTTCTCATCCATTTGTTTCCACTTAGAGGTATGACAGACGTGGCAGGTATCGTCTTCTTCATGATCCTTCCAGTATAGCATGCAATCATTCGGACATGCAGGAATCTTTTTGTAATCAAGCCCCAAATCCTTCATGATATTTTTAGCTTGTGTAAAACTAGCAGGAAGTTTTGCCTCAGGAATCACCTCTTGAAAAAGTTGTAATAGATCATTAAATGCTACATTACTTAGCCCATGAAGCGTCTTGTAGAGAAAAAGTCGGATGATGAAAGATAGCTTTGTGAAATTTTTACAACCTGGGAACAACTCTTGCTTTCCTTCTTCCACCAATTTATAGAACATTTTGGCCTCTTCATTTAAGCCTTCTTGAACCATACTTATTTCTTCTGCCACATCTCTAAACCTATCATGCAATAATTCATCAAAATTGTCATGCATACCAGCTCCATCATCGTCTATGGCGATATTAGACATAGATTGTGAGGATTTTTCTCCATGAAAAACCCATACATAGTAGTTTTCTACAAACCCATACCCTTTTAAATGGTCAAATACTTTATCCCTTCGATACCAATAGCGGTTCTTACATCGTTTGCAAGGACAACAAATTTGACCATCCTTTGCTACCTTAGCAAACGAGGCATTAAGAAATTCAATGACACCAGATTCAAACTCAGGTAACCGTCTAGGTAAATACATCCAATCTCTAACATTTCCCATGTCTCTCATACCCTGAAGTGAATAGAAACATTAAACTATAGTAAAGAGTAAAGATCTACTAGTTAGAAGCCAAATTGTTTATTGGTTAAGAAACATCAAAAGAACCTAGACGGTTTCACCAAATTTTGTATTGTAATCAAATACTTTTATTTTTATCCTAAAATAGTTTGCTGCAAGAACACTAATCGCCACTGCAAAACTATCAATCGCCGCCGCATTGCGCGGGTCTCCTACTAGTATATATATATATAATATATATATATATATATATATAATATATATATATTATATATATATGGAGTGTACAACTCCTAATGTAATGACATTGCTATGCATCCGGTTTAGCCATGGATTTTATCCGAGGGTATTTTGGTAGACTCGGTGAAATAAAAGGTTTGCATGTAGAGGGGCAGTTTTTGGTATTTTTATTATGAAGTTTGTTACAACTAGATATTTACACTCTAATGAGTGACGATTATACAAGGGTATATGTGTGATTGTCAGTTTCAAATAGCATCATGCTTTCATTAGTAAGATAGGAAGCAAGCTTTTCCTGTGTTCGGAAGGAATATATATAGTATAACAGATCCTGCTCAATTAGTAAGATGGTGATCACTTTTATCAACGTTTCCTGATCGCACTACTGTTCCTGTTATACACTGCATCTATAACTTGACATCGGTAATACTACTACAGAACAAATAAGCATATTATGTGGAATTTGATATGACTATTTATTTGATCCAAAGAAAACATTGTAATTCAGAAGCATGCATCAACTTTGTCTTAATCTTCAATTTTGGAATGGACTTCTCCCATTTACCACAATCAAAGATTACAATTCTCTTAAGAGGGAGGACCGTGTTGATCTAACAGGCCCAGACACATTTGAAATAATGCAATTATATAACTGCCATTTGGCTGTGCGTTTTGCCCAGAGGAAAGGGGAACTAATGGAACACTACAAATCTACAATAGATGATGTGAACCTGATCCCACATTGGAGGCTGAAGAAAGAAAACAGAAGCTGGGTTGTTGCATAAAAGGTGAGGGCAGGAGAATGGTTCACAGTTGAACTTGAATTCACGATGGATTTTTTTTGGGTATAAGTCCCATATATGTTGTAATGTTCTACTCCCTGTTTTAGTATTATGGTGTTTGGTATTGATTTATGGAGGGGCTGTTTAGTACTTATAACTTGAAAGCAGGGATTATTTTTGCGAATTTGTGTAGGGGTTGTTTGGTATTTTTCTATTATAAATCAAGGTAAATAAATATCATATGTTCTGTATCTACCTTTCTTTCAAATATGATCATGTTTAACATGTATACGCATGGTAAATCATCAAACAAAGAACTTTGAATCAATTAGCTATGCTCTGAAGCAAAAGTCTACTGAATTATATCAAGTAAAAGAGTAATTTGAGAAAAAAAAGGTACAGGGTCATACCTGGTTTGGGTAGACAGACTTAAGCAAGAAGCTTTGATGAAATTGACAATTAGATGAGGGTATTCCGCCTCCTGGCACCTGTGGAAGATTATCCGAGAGTAGAGAAAATATTTAGCAACTCAAATCGGAGAGACGAAATAGCTTGGAATCGATTAGGTTAAATGAAATTTCAATTAGCTATTATCGCTTGCCTTGAATAGAAAAGGTACGAAGATAACTAAGTCTTGGAGCCTTCAATGGTGTGAATCGAAACTTTGGAAACGAGATGAACAGTACCAATGAATGGCACTGTGAGCCTGCTACCTTCAATGGGAGTGATTGCCTGATTCTCGACTTAGGGTTGAGAGGAGTATGACGTCGATTGAAATATCAGATGTAATTGGGTATAGCGTGCTTTTAGTTGAAAAGTCAAATATTGGAAATTATATTGTATGATTTAGTTACAGGGAAATAAAAAAAAATTAGCGGGAATTGAAATAAAAGGATATTTATTGAGAGGGAAAATGAAATTAGATAAGATATGTAAATCAATTTTTTTAAAAATAAATGTACGATAAATATATTTAAAGAAAATTTGAACTTTATTTGATAATAATAATTAATATGTTGGATATTATATTTAAATTATATATAAAAGTGTTTTAATTAAATTTTGTTTATTTTATTTTCTAATTTAGATTTCAAAATTATAAAACATGGAACTTTACCCTAAAAATTGCATTCATGTTTTAACAATACAACTTTTGTAATAAAAGTTGCAATTTTTAACAAAATATGTAACCTTTTAGAAAAAGTTACAGTGTTAAATATAATTTGCAACTTTTTTAAAAAAAGTTACAATTTTTAATATAACTTGCAACTTTTATAAAAAAAGGTTGCAATAAATCTTTTAATGCAACCTTTTTGTTGGACAGGATCTTATTTATAATCAAATGCAACTATTGTTAAAAGGTTGCATCTAAAAGGTTACATTAGACTCAT